AAGGGGGCCCAGCAGGGAGGTGGCAGTTCTGGTCCTTACTGAGGAAGACAGAGGCAAAGAAGTTATTAAATATGTTGGCTTTGTCGTCTGGCGTGACAACCAGATTCCCCGTCTTGTCCTGCAAGGGCCCCACATTTCCTGGGGCCTTCTTTCTACTCCTTATGTACTTAAAAAAGGACTTCTTGTTGTCCTTAATCCGGGAAGCCAGCCCCTGTTCCATCTCTGTCTTGGCCTTCCTAACCATCCCCCTACATCCCCGAGCAACTGTAGAATAGTTCTCCTTAGTGACTTTAAATGGATCTGTTTTTCAGAGGGCTCAGAACTTTCTGAAAACTAGATCCTAATAATTGTGTCTAACCAAAAAGTACAGATCTTGCAAACACTATCCTTGCATCAAGGATTAAAATAGAAAACAAACAAAAGAAAACCCCTGGAAAGATGGCTTTATTTTAAATGTATGGGGGATTTTCGGAGGCTAAACAATAAATAAAAAAAGAACAGGGAAATTAAACTCGCAGGGAAGAGCCCCCTAAATGATGAAACAAGTTTAAATGACCCCCCGTGTGGAAAAAAACAAAAAACAAATGGAGAAAGAAGTGAGCTAGTTCATTGGCCAATTCAGCTATAGCTGATTCTTGTCTAATTTTGAGTATGCAGTTCCACTTGGCCAACACCCTTTCTTCGGCCCTGCCCCTTTGTTTGAATATAATTAAGACCTTTGATTAACGCAAACAAGTAAAAACCAAACCAAACCCAAGCCAACCCCCACCCCCAAAAACCAACCAAACCAAACCAAACCAAACCAAACCAAACCAAACCAACCAAATCAAACCTATCCCCCCCAAACCCAACCCTGACTGCTTGTTAGAAGGTGTAGGTTCCCTGGTGGCCTATCTTTGCTTTTGTTGGTGTCATACTCCCTTCATATCAAATTAGTTCTGTCCATGCTAAATAGATATATGCTCAGGTGTTGGTCAACATCATTGCTACTGTGGCAGAAGGGAGTATTATCTACATCAACTTTGGCAGCACACAGAAAGCTCCAAATAGATACCCAGTGGGAGCTGAGCATTTATTAACTGGAATGATTCAGCATGTACACATGGAAATATCAAATTAAGAATAAACCCCCACTCTCCTTTATGGTAGTAACAGAATGGTACACTTACCAATAGCACAGACCTACTTGATACTCTGTTACAGCAAATCACGAGTGAAACTGCAGAAAGAAACTGCTTTGGAGTTTGAAAAGTCCAGTTGAACATAGTTGTACTAACTCAGACCTTACCTTTTTGTAGGCATTGTGGAGATCAGTGTGCAACCACAAGGAGTACAGGAGGACTGAGGCAGCTTTGCCAGCTTTGTTGAATGTAGCACTGCCATTTGTAAAACAAAAACCCCATAAAATACAGCTAACATTGCAGGTCGTGAACAATGCATGTGGACTTAAATAGAACAAGCACTTTACAACACAATCACTTAAAAACAGTTGCTCCTTCATTTTGAACCTAAGAGCTCAGTTCTTTCTCTCAGCTTTCTTAACAGACCTCACGCCATCCTTCTCAGTGAACACAGTGGCAGTGTTTACGCGAGATGCTGACTGCGCAGTAGCTCATTACTACTGTGCAATAGCATCATGTGGCGTGAAGCGTGACGTGATGCTACTGCACATCAGTAATGAGCTACTGTGCAGTCAGTGTCACCTAAATGCTGCTTGGTGATGCTACTGTGCAGTAACTCCAGTTACTGCAGCCATTTAGTGCTTGTGTATACCAGTAGTACATGACTGTGAAGTAATCTGTGTCTACATGTGACGCTACATCGCTGTAGCAATGCACTATGGCGATGTAGCATCTGCAGGCAAAACCCATGGTGCCACAGCTACATCACCATAGTGCACATTATAGTGCATCACTATGGTGACGTAGTGCCTAAAAATAACTGTGTGGCATGCACAGTGCAGTACTGGCTGTTACTGCTTCCAAAAGGAAGTACTAAATGGAAGTACTAAATGACGGTGCAGTAACAATATAGTGGCACATGTAGATGTGCCCACTATGTTCAATTGAATTAACATTTTAATTATTATTTAAACTGTGTATTCTTTTAAGATATGTTCTTTCCAGTGGATGTTGCTGCTCTTTTGTCATGGGGAATTATATAATGTTATAATGTTATGTTATAATGACTCACCTGTCACTTATGCTGATGTTCATAATCTTTGGAAGGCCATCAGTATTTAGGAGAACCCGTGCATTCTGGGAATTGTTTTGGGTTAAGTTGTACAAGGTGTAGCAGATAGAAGCAGTGGTATCACTGACAACCTCATCAGGATTTGGGACAGAGTCAGGAAGTATGGAGACCAAATCAGGTAAAACTTCTCTAGCTACAGGATGAAAATGAAACATGGAATCCAATTAAATGTATACTGTATATTCTACATTATACACACAACACATCATGCTTCCACTACCTGTGGTGCTGGGGATGTGCTAACAAGTGAAATGTAATTTCGTACTGAAGTGTATAATTGTATTTTATATGTAATTATAGGTATAATGATGTCTAGCTATAAAGATCACATGGCTTATATTTCCAAGCTAGGATATATTCTGTAACTTTCTGGTGTCAGTCAGACTAGCATAAATTAACGTTTCCCTCCAATAAATCAAGGTATACTGCCTACCTGGAGTGAGAATTCAGGACGTG